TATATATATATATATATATATATACACATATATATATATACAAATACATATATATATATATATATATATATATATGTATATATATATGTATATGAGTGACAAGAATGGACAGGATCAGGAATTAGGTCATTAGAGGGACAACACAGACAGGAAGGTTTGGAGAAACAGAAAGTGAAGCCAGATTGAGATGATTTGGACATGCGCAGAGGAGGGACAGTGGATACATTGGTAGAAGAATGTATGTGGACATGAGGGTGGACATGCAGATAGTTGGAGTCAGAGTAGAAGATGCAGAGAACAGAAAATCAATGATTCGCTGCGGCAACCCCTGAACAAAAGGGACAAAGCCGAAAGGAAAAAGAAGAAAAGAAGTATGTGCCCTTTCTTTCTCTCCTCTCTGAGAGACCTTACTGCTGTCAGTAAATACTATATCAGCATAATGACTTTTGAGATTTAACAAGACCGATTGGGTTCCTTCTGTCAAAATAATTTCACTTTAAAACTTCTACACTATAGAACAGAAGAGCTGTTTCTCTTACTGCCTCCAAACACACCTTGTACCTCACATCTAAACAATCTTGAACCAAAAGTCCAGGATTGATACTACCACATATATCAAATGAGATTGCGTCATTTATTGAAACTTATAAGGAAAGTCTTTATGATTACTATTGTCTTGAGTTGGACGCAAATATGAAACCAAAGCTGTAATGTTTTCAAAACACTGACTTGATTTGATTGCATGTGACTAATTGTCTTTTATATTGTATTTTGGCTTTTATTCATAATTGCCAGCTTTCAGAGAAAACTGCACATAAAAATGTATAGAGAAAATATAAAGAATACAGGAAATGATATGAAAAGGGATTTTCCTTGTAAATCAAAGTGATAATGAACAAAAAGCAAGAGTTGGTGCTAAGCAGTTAGCTTACAGGGGCATGTTGGGTATCAACAATTCCATTAATTCTCCAGATGTTGAAGTCACTAACTGTTACATTTACAATCAAAACAATATTCACATGATGTTAACATATTCCTTTATTTAGGTGTTTTGTGAGTACATGAACTGGAAATGAAAAGTAAAACTGGAAATGAAAACATGAAAAGTCAAGCTCTACACTTCCTAGATTTGCATACAATTTATCAAAAGTAAAAGTAAAAAAAAAAAAAATTTAATTTAATAATGGTTTCAAGATTTTATAAATTAAAGAGTGCTGGGGGTTTTTTTTGTCTCCAAGTACAGGCAGAAATGTAAAGTTACCTACCGATATATGGACGCTTTGTCTACGTCCATTGGTGTCTGTGACTCTGGTTGTGCTAGACTGGGTCCGTCTGCCAATGTCCCTTCACTGAATTTCTGCTCAGGGTTAGTATCAATCTTTACCACACCTTTTATCTGCACAAAAGAGGAATAAAATAAAAGTAATAAAATATTCAGAAAGCAACGGAGAAACATACACCAATTTCAAATTTAAAAGAAGTAATGATAAATAATGAAATCACACACCTTGTGTGAAACAAAAGTAGCTGCAGGGCAAGGCTTAATTCATTGTATTGTTCAAGTAGGCTGAAAATAATGTTTGCATAAAATAGGCATAAAGAAATGTCCCTGTTTTGCTGCAATCCAACATCATCAAGGGCAAAATCAGCAAAAGCTGAGGGGAGCAGACTTACTGGTAAGTTTAATTTGTGGTTAGCTGGGCCATATGAATTCACATAATGAAACACATGCAGTGAGCAGTATGCAAGTCCCTATCCTAACGACCACTGTGGCAACAATTAATGGAGGCCAAAAGGCCTGTATCTTTAGCCAAGTATGCTGTATGGTTTATTATACTGTGAAAATGTTATTCTTACACATGAATGACTTTTGTTAGCAGACTGTTGAACCACCATATATACTGACTTAGTAAAAGCCAACAAATGCGGCACGACCAACTCAACTCAATTATAATAAACCTTAAATGTGAAGATATTGTAACATTAAGTAACATATATAATGTATTGAATCCTGTCAGTTTAGATTAATTGTCCCACTAAATCAGAAATCACCCATCACTTATTATTTTATATTTTTTGTGTTTAAATTAAACATCTAAGCCAGGGGTGCCCAAAAGGTAGATCGGGATCTACCAGTAGATCTCAAAGGGAGCACTGGTAGATCCTGAGCAATTACATTTAAAAAAAGAAAAAAAAAATAGATTTAATTCTATTTTAAGATGCTAATCACTAGGGCTAAAGTAAGGACCATAGAAGTATTAAGTCAGACGGTATTGTGCCGCAGTAAATATATATTAATACATATATAGTTTTCAATGTAGGTAGATCATGTTACCCCGTTCATTTAAAAAATAGCTCCCAAGCCGAAAAGGTGTGGACACCCCTGATCAAAGCCATTTTTGGCTGTAAGAAGTCAAGATAAAAGGGAAGAGGTCATGCCGGTTGATTCATGTTCTAGCATTCTAAACCAGATTTAACCCCCTCACCCACCTGCTGCTCTCTCTTGTCTATAGAAACCGACTGGGCTGCCATCATTTTCAACGAAGGTGCTGCAATCACTGGGGCATTATATAGAGTGGAGATAGGTGGCCAACCTACAAATTGCACATAAATTCAAAATCAAGTTAGACCACCTGCACAAAAATGGCCAGAATACTTATATTAGTAACCTTACTATCCTGTTGCAAGAGAATTATAGGCTTTGAAAACGAGACTGGTACAACATTGTGGATATAAATAATGGAACTATAAATAATAGGTCTTTGAACATTACATCTTCTCACATGACTTGTATATAAAAAAAAAACACCCACATTGTTTTACGATATTTGTTATAATGTTAACTTGTTTTTAAATTGCTTTGAGTTAACTATGCCTAAAGACATTAAAAACAAGGGCCGTTTATAAATTAAAGTTAACATCTGCAAAGCCGCAGTTTAAATAGAATGGAATTAGCAACCCTAGCTGCTATTTGTACAGCCCAAGGACGACAATATCTTAAAATAGATGTCTTCAACCAAAATGGGCTATGGTACACCCACAGGGACAGTTTTATTTGAATACGTTTATTTCGCAACACTCAGCTAGTCATTCGTTAACACTAACACATTGGCGTTAGCTCACCAACCCAGTCTAAGGTTCTCACAAATTAACATCCGGCCGAGCTACCGCTAACGCCGCAGCTGTTGTGTATTTAGGTGTATACTTATATACATATGTTCGTGTAGTAAACAGTCGAAATCCGTGTTGCCTAATTTAACAAGTGAATCACAGCTCAAATATGCCTAACTCGCTAGCTTGGTACAACAAAGATCCCGCTGGTGCGGATTGATACAATGACAACCTGTGCAACAAGAGTGTTTTTGTAGATGGCAAGTGAATTTCCAGTACAGTCCAATATTCATGATATGCTTAAGCTACACTGTTTTTCTTCGGTTTCAATGTGACTCGGTTATGGTAACTGTGCAACACCAGGCTAGCCCTGCTTCTCTTAGCTATTCTTCCCTCCCATCTGCGGCCATACATGGAGCCACACTTTCCCTCAAGCTCTTCCGCACTTAGCTTTTCCGCTATTATCCTCTGTCCCCAAACGCCGACATATTTTTAACCACCTCCCCTTGTAAGCTCTTTTTATTATTTTCAATGCTTTGCCGCCTGTTTTCCTTCGATTAATAAATCTCCGCTCTTTGGCGTAAGTCCGTGGTAACCGCCCTGGGCCACTTTAGTGTGTGCCCTGGATTCTTAGATTGATAGGGGACAGAAAAAAGAGGGATTTGAGTGACAGCTTACCTGAATGCCAATCTTCGTCACACTGACAAGCGGCTGCAGCAATCGGGACTCGCAGTTGTTGCTTTGCGTCATCGCGTAAGAGCACGTAGGGGCGCTCAGCTTATGCATATTTATGTAACGGGCGGGGACATGACGTCCATGACGCCAAGCTCTTCATGGAGGGTATTCAAATATTGTGCGTATATTTCTGTGTTCATCATTTTGTTTACTATATATGCATGCAATCAATATAATTTACGTATGTAATTCGAACGATTGTCTTTCAACCTTATTTACAGAAATGGCACTGTTTAGGCTTTTGGTGTCTATCTACTGCTTTAAACACATCTTTGAGAAAGATGTACAACTCAAAAGCAAAACAAGAATGCTCTGTTCACTTAAAGTTTAATAAAGTAATATTTTATGCAACAACATTGCTGTGAGTGGCAGGTTAACTGTATTCGCGACCATAATTGCAAAGATACGCAGCCAGGTCTATCTCTCTAGTGCCTTGGTGAAAGTCTTCCAGAGCTGGGCTGAGGGAGACGAAATTTGGCCATGTCCACGTCACGGTCAACAAATGTGAAGGTGGTGTAGTTGTGGTGCTGCTCATTTTTATAAGTGCTGTTGTCAAACGGTTCCTCCGGCTCTGATGGAACACCTGCTGCCTCTGTAGGACAAATAAACAAAGAAGTCTCTTCAGTCATCCTGCTGTGCTGTTAAAAAAAAAAAAATACTAAAAGGTAATTGCCGTAGGTAATTTATAGTTTGTATGTTTTTAAACAAGTTTATGGTTAACTGATCTGAAGAAGGATAAAAAGATACATACATGCAATTAGTAAAACCCATCCTAACAACAACAAATACTATACAGAAACCTGCATAAGTAGAATTAAAATAAGGATTTTTGTAAATGCCTTGAGGCATTCACTCCACTCAGCGTATAAGCCAAAAGTATATAGGTAGTACATTTACATTAATCCACAAATGATGTCACATTACAGCAAATGATTGTTATAATGTAACAATATGTAGATGCAGGCACGGCGAAAAAGTCAATATTTCTTTGCATCTTGAACAGGGAAACACCATCACAGAGGAACAACACGATAAGTATGTTTAAAGGTTTAAAGTTTAAAGTCATGGTAATATGAGATTTAAATGATACCAGTATGTCCACTTGTGACAAGTCGTTTTACCTGAATCAAGGTTAATGTATGCCACACAACGTTTAATCTTGAGTTTTGAATTTGTTGAAGTTTTGACCACTGAACACAAAAATATGTTAAGGTTAGACTGATGATCGAGTCTCAAAGTTAAGGGTGCAACACACTGTAATTAAAAAAAATAAAAAAATTTGCAAAAGTATGTAATTGCAACTGCAGTATTTTATATTATTTGTTATTTTCTTACATTGGAATGGTTCTTTTTGTTATTCATTGTTTTATTTTTTTGTTAAATTTATACATACGTTACATTGCAGTAAAAGCACAGAAACCCATTTGTACTATATTTTCGTCTTAGTCCAACCCATAAATTCTTATCAATTTCTGTTCCTACATATGTTTAGGGTTAAATAACGTACAGGATGTCCACAGTACAGAAAATGTTATACATGTAGCTGTGCTCAGTTTTATGTTTTTGTTTTTTTTTTCACATATCTTAAGAACAATGATACAGCTCTTCCGTCGGGGAAGTTTCATGCATATTATTAGTATTTTTGGTCAAGTTTATTTTATCTTTTTTGTTGGACTTCAGCTGTGAAACACTTAAGATTGTTTACTTCAGTCCTCACTAGAGCATTGACAACCTCTGACTTATTGACTTGACTTTGTTGTCAGACTAGTCGATGTGAATGAGTAATTTATGACATCACACACACACACACAAAAACACCAATGATGGGGTGGGGTTTGCTGTGTTCTTGTGTAAATGCTTCTTCAGCACACCGTAGTGTTACTATTTACGATTCTATTTTATGAAGTGATTATGACTGTTGGTCAATTTGATGATAAAATATCAGTGCAAGCCAATCAGAGGTAGAGAGCGGAAACAAACCCCACGTTTGACTAACTGCTGCCGGGGGGGGACTTGACTTGTGCCATTCGTATCGACAAGATGTCTTTTTCTGTCAATAGCCCTAGTCCTTAGTGACACCTTGTCTTGTCTTTATGACTACAATCACCGAGTTGTCAAATTTCACAGGGATCTCTGACTCTGATGCCAGCTGTTTCAAGTAAATGAAGTTACTTAACTTGGTTTTATACACGTATCACTGATGTTACACAACGTGGCAAATCCATTTTGCTTGCGCTCGTCTCAGCCCGTCTAATCTTAACATCGTGCTGTTGTGGTTGAACTTGTCTATGTCCATGTCGTGGAATAGAACAGACAGCTCATCAACAGGCGAATCCAGCTTGATATAAGTTCTGTCGATTACTCTTCCAACTACTTTCAGGGGCAAAATTGAGAAGTCTGCAGCTCCCCTACTGAGCCAAGAGAAATGCCATTTGTTAAAATAATTCTTCTGTCCCCTCAAATGTGCCTTACAACTGTCCATCATATTTGTCGTTATAAGGGATCCCCCCTCTGATGCTTGCGCAAAGGACAATGACAGCAAACATACACACAGCAGTCATACAAAACACAATCAGGCATGCGCATTGATTTGGAAACGTATGTAAAGTAGTACTTCTCAAATAGTAGGGCGGGGAGCGCAGTGAGGTGTGTGTGGGGGGGGGGGGGGGGGGGGGGGGGGAGGAAATAGGGGATGGGGTCAGTCACTAGGTGGCAGCAACTCAAACAGTGGTTTGTACAGATAAAAATATACATGTTATCAGGGTCTCTGTCCACAAGGGGGGGGGGGGCATGACAGAAAATAATTGAGAACCACTGATGTAAACGAAAATATATTGAAAATATATACACAAGCGGACATAGTGGCAGTGTATATATATATATATAATAAAATAACAAGACATAGTGGCAGTGTATATATATAACAAAATAACACATTAATGTGCTCACAGGAGACTTTTCACCAGTTGTAGATAGCTGATGCTGACCACTAATGAAAATAAAGGAACATGGCCATAGGAATGAAGCACTAAAGAAAACAGGGTATTTAAAGGTTTCAAAGAATACAACACATCTCTGAAAGCAGGGACACCTTTGAACAAAAATTAGTGGTTAATTCAGAGGAAGATACACAGAAAAATGAGAATAGGTATGTACAAGAGAGGGAAAAGTTAGATCACATAAAAAAAAAGGCTTAGTGTAGTGTATACCCTCTGATTGTTCAGCTGTGTTCTCAGCCCGTGTTTCTGGTCCTGCAACTTCATAATGAACTGCAGCAAGATCCTTCAGTGTTTCGGTCCTTTCCACTGAGGCCAAGACTTCTTCTTCAGTGTCAACAAGTGCTTCAGCAGTGGAAGATTCAAATTCCAAAGGCTTATTTATAGCTTTTACAGAGGTGACTTGTGCTGCTTCTACAAGCGGAGCTTCAACATTGGCCTCTAACACAGAGGCAGCTTCGGCATTTGTTTTAGGTAAAGCAGCGGATGGTTCTAAAGAAGACATTTCAACACTGACAGACTCTGCATTTTCTATAACAAAGTCAGAAGGATTTCTTTTTGTACCAGAAATCCCAGACATTGCTGTGTCTGTAGTGTCTTGTTGATAACTGGGGGCACAGTGACGGGATGAAACATCTTCCTCATCAAATTCAATTGCAGCACCTACAAGCTTTTCGGATGTAAGATTGGGTGTCTCAGCAGCAGGTGGGGCGTCTTCTATCATTGCTGATGATGGATCAGCATTATTTGTAATGGCAAAAACATTTTCTGCATCAAGGGAAGTTTTCATTGTATGATTATCACCATGCTTCTCCCCTACAGTTAGATTGTTTGCTTCTTCACATTTTACAGTGGACATGACGACCTTTAATGGTGCGGTAATTGTTTCGGTCTTTACCTCTAAATTTTTAGTGTCAGAGTCCGAGTCAGAGTCCGAGTCAGAGTCAGAGTCGGAGTCGGAAGATGAGGAGGTGGATCCATCTACTGCTTGTGTCACAGCTAAACTTTGCTCAGGGTGTAGAGGTACGGCTGATATTGCTGCCTTTGAAGTGGAAATGGCACCAGCCAATATGTCTGAAACTCTAACTGGGAAGGTAACTGCAGTCTTGTAGGCTAGAAGGCTTGCCCTCTCATCTGGAGCCCCTACTGCTGAGGAAAATGGTAAATGGGACAAGCAAGCAATTAGTTCAAATAACTTGCAGAAATTGAAATCATTGAAATTCAATAATCAAAGACAATTCTTTATATTCATACACAGATATATACATATACATATGTATATATATATATACATATACATTTATACATATACATACATATATACATATGTATATATTCACATACATGTATACGTATATATATGTATACGTATATATATGAATATATACACATATATACACACATACATGTATACATATATATATATATACACATATATATATACACATATATACATATATATACATATATACACACACATATATATATACACACATATACAGGACTGTCTCAGAAAATTAGAATATTGTGATAAAGTTCATTATTTTCTTTAATGCAATTAAAAAAACAAAAATGCCATACATCCTGGATTCATTACAAATCAACTGAAATATTGCAAGCCTTTTATTATTTTAATATTGCTGATTATGGCTTAGAGCTTGAGAAAACTCAAAAAACCTATCTCAAAAAATTAGAATTTTTCCTCAGATCAAGTAAAAAAAAAAAAAAGTATATCAGCAAAACAAAATCAAACATTTGAAAATCTCCATTAATGCAGTCAGTACTTCGTTGGGAATCCTTTTGCCTGGATTACTGCATCAATGCGGCGTGGCATGGAGGCAATCAACCTGTGGCATTGCTGAGGTGTTATGGATGCCCAGGATGCTTCAATAG